CACACACACACACACACACACCCTTCCCCAGTAAGCGTCCCGCCCCTAATAAGCACTCCTCTTGAAGCACCAAAGGAATATGGGCGCCCCGGTTCTGGTGTCTGGGTTTCGTACTCAAGCGCTGATTTCTGGCTTTTCGCATTGCCCGCGAGCGAGTTTAAGAATGACGTTAAGAGGATTAGGGTGGGGAGAGGGGGGTTCTGCTTCGCCGCTCGCGTCCATCACCCAAACACTAAAAATCACCAGATTCAACTATTTCTAGCGCAAAGCTATTGTGTCTTGTTTTTGTTGTGCGATAATTAAACAGAATAGAATACATAAGGCTGCTCGCCGAGCACGAGTTAAGAACCTAACATGTGTGGCACGATCTTTACATCCAAGTTGTGTTTCTACTCCATATTCCTCATTTGCAATCCGTACCCTCGATAACTGTCGCTTCCCGTTCATTTTCCTATATACGTGTCTTGTTTTCTCAGCCTCGCATCATGACACCCAAATCGCTGCATGTCGCCTTGAGTTACACAACGCCGTCTTCCTTTTAAACTCCCGTCCCGCTCCTCCCATGATTTGATCACTGATATCTCCTTTATGTGTCACTTTTTGGTGGCTACTTCGAGTCTGTGTGAAGTGGAACAAGGCGTTGGAGCAAGTGTGTCAAGAAATGTCCACCTCGTCTTTAAAAGATGAATCAGCAACGCTTCTAGTGTCATCAGGAGAGCTATGGTAAGGCATACAAAACCTTTCAATTGATCTGGTACCGTGTAAAATCTCTTTCATACAGTTTCATTGTCTTATTTGAATAATCCGAGTCACATTCTTTCAACTGAAGCTGCTCTTCCATAGCTTTCCTTGTCAACTTGGTCAAGCTTTTGTCTTGAAAAGACACGAAAATAAAATCACCACGGATGAGTTCACAGGCGCGCTTGAACTGATAAAAGACATGTGCTTTAAAAAGAGCGGGGTCTTCGGTATACACAGATATTCTCCAATGTACGCATTTCACTCTTGGTGAAAAAGTTCCAAAGCTGATCGATCTCGGTAAAACACCATCAGCGCATTTTTCGACCAAAATTTCGCTGCACTCTTGAAGCATGTGATCAATATTTGCTGGGTTGGGTTCGAAAGGACAGGAGTTGATGACCAACACGTTTTTCGGGAAGAGCTTTCCTCTCGTAGGCTGGGTAAGAATGACATCAGACAGATATTCTGTTGAGCATAGAGATATCTCCCCTGCGTTTGACTCGTTCATGGATATTATAGCTTGGCTAAAGGAATTTTCTGTTACTTCATATGACAGGACATCGTATTCCAGGAGTTCTGTTTGATCTTGTGAGCCTACTTTGTCAAAACCAACCATGAACCGTTCCTACTGCAGGCTGGGGAAATGTTCTCTGACATATTT